ATGGAATTAAGAATATGGCTGGGGGGGGGGGGTCCTGCAGTTTGATGGACAATTATTTGCTAATGAGACGCGTCAAATCATATTAATTTTTTTTGTCATTTTTTTCCGTTATTTTTTGTTACATGGAGGCCAATATTAAAGTGCTTAGGCCTAATATGTTTGTGCTGAACGACAAAACTGTTTCTGGAAGTTATTATAAAAATAATCATTTCTAGTTTTTGTACCTCTTTTAGAGGATGCGTTTTTATTTCGAAAGCCGTAATAATGATGCCAACATACTCATTACTACACAGGTTTAGTCTTTGCGCAAATGCTGCTAAGTATTTTGAATACAAATATTTTTGTAACGTGTATCTTACCACCTTGATTATTGAGAATTCTTGCCAAATATTACAGAAATCGTTTGATCCACATGAAGGTCAAAGTAATGTAAAATCGTGCTTCAGATTAATATACGCTTTATTTATTGTTTGGGCATTGTTATACTTCTGTGAGCCGGCATCTCACTGCAATGCAAACCGTTAAATAGCGATTTATGATGTTAATGAAATTAAGCATTTTGCAGAATAAACAGGCCCATATTTCATTGACTTGTAAAACGAATTCCATAACATGAGGAGTTAATACAAATTTATGCTGCTTAATGTAGAAATATTTTATCACTTACTAATGACAGGTTTTTACACAAGGTAGCGATTAAATGCGTTGTCCTCGTTTTCACTATTCAAATCCAAAACTCACATTCCTTGATGTCTGTTAGCAAAGAAAGTATCATCAAAAAATATTGTCGTTCGAAATTCTTTACTTCATATACTTTATCTAATTGCATATCTTACAATTTAATTAGTTTGTTTATATGTACGGTGCAGATAATTGCGGCATGAGGGGAGCGCGGATGTTGGTGCCTCGCTAGGTTGGTTTTTTGCCTTGTTCTCGTCGTGGCGTGGGTGCGCTGTTTTTGCCGTTTGACGTATGTCAGGACGTTACTCATACGTGTACTAAAATGAAGTCCGAGGAAAAACTTCAAAAGAAAAACGCATCGAAGTCTGAAATGTCCTCTCTTCCGGTTGACGCGCTCGATCCTGCTGTAAGGGATTCCATCGCGAAAAGACTACTGATTCGCAACATGTGCTCTGTTAAGGTGGAAAACTTGCCCAAGCACTATAATTATTCTACCATACTGGAACTAGCGCCGGAAATGTCGTCATGCCGGATATTATACGATCCAGTCTCGCGAAGACCAAAAAGATTCGCATTCATCGAGTTTCCTTCCAAAGATATTGCGTCGAAGTGTCTTATTCGCCTTAATAACAAGAACTTTGGAGGAAAGCTGCTCAATGTTTCTCTTGGGGGCGAACTATCGGAGTCCGTTGGTGAGTTGCTCATATTCGTCGATTTTGGTAGATGATTATAGGCATAATTGTGTCAAGTTAAGTAATCTTCACTGGAGAACATCGAAGGGTGAAATATCCAAACATTTCCCAAATGCCATTTCAATTGATATTTTAACGAAAATCAAAACTGGATTTAACCGAAAACAATCAGCGACAGCTGTGGTGACTTTTAACTCAATCGAGGAGACTATTTCTGCCGTTGATGAAAAGCAAGGTTGCAATGTTCACGGGCGCAAGGTGTCTGTTATGTTTTGTCCAAAGAAAAAAAATAGGTGTGTGTGTGTGATTTTTTTATCATCTATGAGTTCAGTTTGCTTGTCGGCTTGACCGTTTACGGTTTGAAAAAATCTTCAAGCGAGTCCGATTTGCGTGCGTTGTTCCCACAAGCAAGTGAGATCAAAATGTTTCCACTTGGTGGCTTCGCCTTTCTCCGTTATGATGTTGCCGATGACTGCATACTTGATAAAAAGAACGCGCTCGGCGCCAGCCTTAAGCAAAGAAAGTTGAAGGTCGTTTTCAAGTTTGCAAGTGAAGCTCCCTCAGCGGCGAACTCGGATTCGACCGTCGTGGATAAACAGTGCCATTCCCTTGTTTGCGTGACGAATCTTGACAGATCCACGACAGCAGATCAGATATCGAAGCTATTTAGTGGCGCAAAAATTGTTAGCATGCCGAAAAAGGGAAAGTTGCACAAAGGGTAGGTTATCCTTATAAGAGATGTGTGTGTAACTACAAAGTCCTTTTTAATGCCCCAGAGTATCTCATGGGGTTTCGCTGAAGGACAAGATTAACAGATGCAATTTTTCGACGACCATCTTACAAATGGTTATTGATTTCGATGAGCAGAGACTAGTGTAATGGGCTGTTTAAAGTTGATCAAGGCATTTTTGTTTACCGTTGTTTATTTTAACAGGTGTGTTTTGTTTCTTAGGTGTGCTGTCCTCGATTTTGGATCAGTTTTGGCCGCAAAGAGAGCGCTCTCTAAGTCACATTCCCTCAACGGTCGGATGCTGGTCTTGCGAATGGCTTCTAAAAAGTTGCTTAAGCCAATTCCCTCTAACTAATGATCTGTACCCGAATTTGTATATAGATTTTTTTTAAAACAATAACTTTTGCTTCTGCAGTAAGTGTGCCTCAATCCACCTGGTTGTTTCGTCTTCAGGCGTGGAATACGATACATTTGGCATTATATCCTGGTTATGAGCTGCACACTGCTCTGTTTACAAATATCCGTTCTCCGTTGGATTTGGCTGGGAAATTGGGTGCCGGTCAGCTCCCGTTACCTCCAGACTTATCTGTCATTCTAGATGCCGATTATATAGTGGATGTAGGCCAGGTAGTTTTGTGCTATCTCTAACCGAACTGTCCATTATTAAGACTGAATGTGTTAATTCAGTTTACGCAGTGGACAACACTGATTGGGGAGCTACCGAGCTGCGGTGCTTATTGCGGCTCCAATCTCCCCTATAGCCTATGCTAATGTTCCTTAGTGCACATAGGACGTTGTGCCCTTGAGTCGCTTTTGAAATGAAGTGACAACTCTAGATGCCGATGCGGTTCCACGGTGATCTTTTTATTTCCGCAGGTTGAGTGCGCAGCAATCCAGGCTTTAACCAACAGAGTTGGTGGGAAGCTGCAGGGAAAAGGTGTTTTCTCTTCTGAAGTGATTGCGTGCCTGCATCCTCGACACTCAATTAAGGAAGCATTAGTTACGTTTGGCGTTCGAAGCACTACCACGAGAGTGTTGCTTGCTTTCCTCGGAACACCAAATGTCAGCGTTCCTAACTACACAGAGATACTTCATCTGGTGTCCGGCGATCCCGCCGAACTGTCCACTTTGTACCAGTCATGTAACAGAGAGAAGGTTGCACAGATTTACGGTATATGCAGTACGGAATTCCAGAAATTTGGAAACGAGGAAAATGCCTACATACTTAGTATCTTAACCAGGATGTCTGCTAGCTTGTTGGTACGATAAATACATTTTCCCCCTTCCTCTTATTCGACCCTTAGTGTTTTTTTTTCAGTTGCGCTCGGTCAGAGAGCCCTACTTGAGCTAGGGTGTCATAACTGAGCTAAATATATTGACGCATCGCTAGCGGTGAAACTGCGTTTTACTCGTTAGAATGGGTCGAACATGTTTTGCGGTTTACGGTAACGGCTAGTACCATTTTTTCACGTGGGTCAGTGGTTACTACTAATTTATAGATGAGTATATGAGGTCTAGTTTTTGAGAAAATGTGTTGACACAGTGGTCTGTGGTGGCTAGCAGCAACGCAAGGGCGTCCGATAACTACGGCAAATTAGCCACTGCCGTTACACAACGCGCTGGAGTGAGGTAAATTGTTGTGCATTAGCAAGTAAATAAAAGGTAGAATGGGGTTATGAACCTGGGATAATGCTTGGTCTGGATTCGAGTGAAGCACAGTAGACCAAAATGCTTTAGTCTGTCGTTAGCGATCACCAACCGCGGACTGCAAGATTATCCTGGTGCCAGCTTGGCACTCAATTATGGCTCAGGTGGGCGTCAGGTCTGATGCATTTGTAGTGTCGATTAACGCCATATCAGCTACTACCGAAATTCCCGACACCATTCGCCTTCTCGCATGGTGCTCGTCAATAATGCGGATTCATCTGTCAATATATCAGTACACGTACTAGAGCCCGCTACTCGTTTCAGTTATTTGTGCTACTGGTTTACCCAAGCTCTATTGGTCAACAACCACTTTGAATACGCACAGCTGGGTTGAGTCATGTGGTAAATGGTTGTCTCCACCATCTCAGGCTTTGTTTATCTTGTTGGGTATCAGTGTAGCGTAATCAGGCGGTCTCGGTGTGGCTCAAGACCACGTGCTGGGGTCTTCAACACTTCACGAGGAGCCGCGGTCAAATTTTCGAAATTCCCTACAAGGAAACGCGCGTAGCGTAACTTCTCGCCAAATCCATGTTGAACATCTAGGATCCTGCGCCTTTGAATTAGAATACCTGTTGGTCTGGTACATCATCTAGGAAAGTCAAACACCTTCAAAATGGGCGCGATGGTCGTTGTTGTTAGTTAGCCGAACAGTACCCTACTCTGGCAAAAAATATCCTGTTAACACAGGTAACCTAGATGGAAGCTAGACTGATGCAGCCTTCAGCAAATCAGGGTTCTAGCAGTAGCACGACAAACATGTATCGACGGATCTGCAGTGTAGTTGCAGACGAAGTCGGGTTTTACAAATATCTTTTATCAACCAATATGCTATACACAATTCTGGGATTGGTTATATGCTATCTTGGGGTGTGTGGGTGCGCATACTCCGCGGCAAGTTGTAGATACAAAGGCATGGGTGGGGGCATCATCGGATGAGATCATGTGAAGGCCTTCGCAGCCTGATAGAGCTGAGCCAGTGACAGCATGTGCACAGGCAGGCAGGATCGTCGGTCGTTAATGCAGGGATCGTAGGAAAGCCAAGAAAGAGCATTGTAGCATTCCAGAACGAAGCGGAGCACATCACATGTTACATTTGAGTCGAGCAGATGACTTCCTGCATTAGCGGAATTAGAAGAGCACTGCTGGCCGCCGTGAGCTGCTGCGTCGTCGTCAACACCCACCAACGTACAGTGCAAATGTAGAGAGGATTTTAAGCAAACTGGGCTGTTTCGTCGGGTCTGTTGGCACGCGGCCCAGAACCACGAAGGCAGGGGGCCTGCTGGGGCTGTGGAAACGTGATAACCCAAAGCCAGCGGTTGTTGCATCAGGCTAGGTTTTTCTGACTAAAAATTAACGAAAAAAATTAACTTAGCCCGATCGTCACCACACTGGACTACCTAAGCCTTTGAAAAAACTAATGTTTCAAAAGAAATTGAACAAAAGCTTGGTCGACCGTGGCGGTAATTGGAGCGAATACGGACATCCGGTCGCACAAACTAATTTTAAGGTATGAATGTAGATTTTTAGGGCACGGCAGACAAAAGGTGGAACAACCTGCATGCCTTGGTGGCGCCCTTCAAACAACACTGGTAAGCATCTGCCACCGAAGCTCCTTGTGTAGCGATTCAGACGACGACTACACTAGTGTGGCTCTCAAAGCATGCGCGATGTCCCATCAGGTCAATCAGGAGTGGAAGTTTCACCCTCATTCGGTCGCCCGCATTTCCACCTAACATACACTCCCCGATTACTTGGTTTGTGCTCCTTTCAACTCTACATTTGACTCAGCCAAGTGTCAAATGATTAAGGCAACTGAGTGATGCTCTAGTTGTAATGAAAAGTACTGCTAACAATAACACATTCAGTTCAAAATTGATTACCGTGATTTAGAAGAAGGCTACAGTTTGACTTAAAAAGGAAAAGGCACAAAACAATTGGGCTAACCTGTGGGTCAGGTACACCAAATGGAAGGAGGGATTCGAGTAGGAATTTGGCGCGCTCGCGACAGGCAGCCTCGTAGGGCATGCCCTGGGTATTCGGTTCGACAGGCACATCGCCCCGCATTAGCGATGAAATGAGCAGACCGGTGCCTCCCCCGTTTGGATCTTGGGGCACTCCCGAGCAGGGTCCAACTCCACCTACACCCCCGACGACGGCGCTGGCCAGATTACAACCAGGTCCGGCGCTATTAGGTGTGGTGAGGGTATCCAAACTGGGCATACCGACCGCGGCATGATCATCAAACTCGTTCTCTTCGTAAAAGTCGCCAAATATTTCTGTAAAGTTAATATCATCTTGCTCCTAAAATAGAATAAAAAGAAGGCTAACTGGCTGTGCACGCGGGTTGAATATACATTAGTAATAACTACAAATATTCCAACGCAAATAAGAATACCAACCACAAACTGATCACAATATCTAAGGATGTCTTTTTGTAAAGCCTGGAATACTGATGCAAAAACTTGTTTGAGATCTAAAGCTAACGTAAATATTTAACGGATTCAGAAATTTTAAAAACTGAAAACGATGGCATATCGGCCATGATTTTTGAACGCAGGAATAGTCCGACAAATACAAGACACAAAGCAGCCATCTGTGTACAAATTTAGTGTTCTTCGTTTAGCAAATGCGCGAAGCTACTTCTACATGGCCCATAAATCCCTTACAATATTCTCATTAAGGAATTTCGATACTAAAGGCATTCTCGTAGAAATCGATTTCGGTTGCTGGTGAGTTACCGTTTTCAGAAGAGACGGGCAACGGTATTTCAAACCACAAACACTACGTGCACGATATAAGTCATATTTACAGCCCAATAATAAGCACGAAAAGAGATGGTAAATTGGAAAATCAGTAGGACTTACAGACTGAGCCTGAGCTGAGGTGCTGGTGGGAAAAACGAGAATGTGAGTGGTACTAGGGGCATATCCAGCAGCTGATATGACTCCATTAGCGAAGGGCCCCGCGGGCACCTGTCCGGCAGGCCCACTTCCCACGCCCCCACTTCCGCTCGAGACTGAAGCGCCACTGCCTCCGCCTACACCGCCACTTCCCCCGCCACCACCTCCGTGACTGCTACTGCCATGTCCTCCAGGACCGCCAAAATCACCAGTATTGAGATCAGAGCCAGGAAAGAGGCGGAAAGTGGAGTGAGGCTCTGTGGAAACTAGACAGGCAGATATGAGCGAAGGCGTCTCATGAACGCACGAACTGGGTACTCGGGAATCCGCAGTAAGGCTTATGGTGGCCGTCGACCTGCCACGATAACTTGGTCCGTTATTGTTAGAAGTGGAGGGAACCAGGGTGACCAGATTGCACAAAGCACAGTTGGCACGGAGGGACCGATTGACGTTTTGGAGATTCTTGCGACTCAGTAAACCGCACCAGCCTGCACACAAAACGGGATATGTTGAAGAAATAATTTATGCAAACTGAACATTCATTGATGATCACTACTTTGGAACAATTGATGAGTGAATACAGTAATAGCGAAACGTTGTCCGGCATTCATAATCCATTTGAACCCGTAAAGAAAGGGATCGAGCATCATATTAATTTTTTCAACTGATGCCCACGACCAAAGTTATGACCTTATGAAATGTTACTAGTTGGACTTGCACTGGCGATTCAAGAGAACATTAACAGAACTTTGGGAAGCAGAAAGGTATTAGACTAAATCTGAGTATGAATCAAATCGCACACAAATTTGACAACAGTTGCTTTTATACACTTCAATCGGAATACAAATATACGTTACGTTCGGTGTATGACAGTTCGTGATGGAGCGATGCTTAAATATCGGCAGGTGCAAGTGTATACAACACTTTTGACTGTAAAAACTAGTGCATAATTGCCAATTAATTTCAAGCACGAATAAGAACTGACAAGTGGAATGAGCCGAAAAGAGCAGCTATACATCCACACATGACTTCGAAATTAATAAATCATCAGACCATGGTACTTCAACGTGCTATCCTATGTAATTACTGAGACTACACTTTTAACAAGTTAATTTAAATCTACTAGCAAAAATGAAAGAGATAAAATAGGCTCAACACGATAGAGATGTCACCTTGCATGAATCAAGGTACCATCTCAAATGTCCAAAACAGTGTAGAGTATGCATTTTAAGCTTATAGTCCGAACGAAGACTCGCAACAACAGTACAAACCTATTATAGTGCTCAAAAGAATAATGCTGTGAAAAGGACTCACCTCTAAGTTCACCATGTCCCAGCCGCCCCAGTCGTCCAATAACCAGTCGCCAAGGATTAGAGGTGGTAGCCAGCAGTGAGATGATGAAGTCCCAGAGTCGAGCTAGGGCCAGACGACGAGCTGAGATGTGAGAAGTGTCCGTCGCTGTGTTCGATTTGTTTACTGTCACCCCCGAAGGTGTACACATGGACTCGGGAGTTCGAATGTTGATAAATGTTTGCTGTGAGAGGGTACCGTACTGGTCTGTGCAAGTCGCCAGAAGCCATTGCTGATCCTCCGACAGGCAATACGAGACAAAGAGCACAGAGGATGGCTGAAGGGGTTCGGCGGGGTGCATGTCCCACTGACCCCAGAGATCATGCGACTGAGCCAGAGTGTAGGCAGGGGAGTAAACGCGGCGAATGTGGACACTCTAAAAAACAGAATAAGATTAAGTGGAGCCAACAATACGGGTTCCCACCATCCTAACCCGTCAAGTTAGCTGAAGCTACCTTAACCCGCTGAATGAAAAGCAATTTAAACAAATTTCATGTAATACCTTTTATCATCTCCTCCAAACATAAGGTTAGCTCCGTTACGGTGAAAATAGAGAAAACTTAGCGCCCAAACATCATAGACACATAAATAAGCAATCACGGGAATTTGTTTGCCCTTTAATGATTACGTTAAGAGCAATAGCAAAACACAAAAGAATTGAAAAGACCTGGGTGAAAATGCTTGAAAATCGGAAGATTAACTAGTCCACAGGAAATTCTAGATTACCTTGCTACAGTGCACAAAAGCCTGGAAGACATCGAGTAAAATTCAATAAATTCTTCCACAACTGACCTCGAAGTTAGCTGAGATAACCTCCTTTTCAGCAGCCGGGCCCATCCCTGTTAATGTGCGGTTGGCATTGATTAGGCTGGGTGAGATGACACGATCAACCGAAGTGTACACGGCGAGGGCCATCGACTTGACGTGCGGCAGGAAGTCGGCCGTCCCCTCGCCGTCATGGCCGCTGACGAGGCCGCAACGCGGAGAGGTGATGTGCGCCATGGGGAGCAGCTGCACGGAGACGCGCTGACGCCAAGAAGCCGGCAACTGGGCGACCATGCGGCTGGCAGCCTCCGCCATACATCGAGTCGTTAGGTTGCGCAGCTCATCGTCCATATCGAAATGCTAAACAATGAAAGCGGTTACGCCCAAAGTCAACCAAATGTGCGGGGAGAAAGCAGTCACGGGATGCAGATTGCAAAAGAGAAGACAAAATAAGATTATATAAATTGCAAGAACCTATCGCGGTAACCTAATTTAGACCAAATCTAGATTTCATTTTATTTTTAAAGTAAAAGTGCAATGTTAAATTTGAGGTTTTAGAATTATGATTAACGGTTCATAAATTAATTAGGGCCACCCAAAAGATTACAGCCAAATGAAAGTGGCTTGGTGATGAAGATGATGACACAGAAGTCAAGAGAGCCGTGAATGTCAACATCCAAAAGGGCATAAACTGATTATAAACCAGAGACAAAACCGAATTAGTCATTCCTTGTCCGCGAGTCACAGCACAGGGGCATTATCTACGAACCTGAGTGAATGGCTCTACGAGATAGATGACCAGATGTACGTCAAGCTCGGTGCCGCGATAAAAGTCGAAGGCAGTGGTGAGCGGCCCTTGGCCGTTGAGAGGACCGCTTTTGGAAGCGATAACAAGCGGACCAGGAGAAGACTTTTCTTGTTGTCCAGCGAACGGCGCCAAAATCGGTGAACAATGACCATCCGGCATGGCAACTCCTCGCTCGGACAGCGCCTTCCGCACAGCTTGAATGACGCCAGTCTTGTAATGGTGGAGGCAGTGGAGAAGAGTATCTGGAAAGTGAACACCTCCGCCAGAACCACTGCCACTGGATTTAAGAAAGTGGCGTGAAGCATTCGTCTGCGAAAAGTCGTTCTCGTCTAAATGATAGGAAATAGACTCATGCCAGCACCGACGTTCACGAGCTCAGCTTATGCTAGGCTCCAAGAACCCACTAATTAACCTGAAGACACATCGATACATTGACATGCCCCAGACAACAGCCTGGGACTCATCGAAAAGAGGCTATGACGTATAACGAACTCGTACGCACCTGGACATAAGACTGGCGTAAACCAGTCATCTCATCCGCCCAGGCGCAATACATGAACACACTAACACCTCAAAATGTCACTAGGAATGGTCACACTGCACCTCATTTCGCATGGAGTCAGCCTGTCGGAGCTTTAAGATAACGTCGTTCAGCTAGACAATGCATTCCAATCAGGTTTCGATGTTTCATCGACTTTGAGGTAGGTCAATGCCCCGCGTTGGGACTAATTACCCTCCTTAAGCAAATTCGAATCCGAGAAAACGTGTTCTACGAAACCAACCTTTATGCGGGAAAGCACACTGTACGTGTATGAAGGCTGATTCGGGGTTGCCTGCCTTCGGTTGGAAGTAAGGATAATGGCGACCGAACATGCAGTTTTCAAAGGCCAATGAGAGTTCATAGAAGAAAGTGGATAACGCTGCAACAGATCGACGCTGACTCTCTGAAGCAGCAACACCAATCCCCTGCTGACCCTGCCAAGAAGGCAAAACAACTGCAAATGCAACACGCTTGGGTTGAGATAACGGCGTCAACGAGAGATGATCCTAAAAGGAAAACGCGAGAGGTTCGTATGCAAGTAGAAGGGTCTAACAGCCCGAAATTTCCCGTACGGAGGTGATATCTGCAGCCCTCACAGGTAATAAAGTATGCTCACGACCATCAGATTTTCACCGTTACTTCCCCGGTGCTTGCGAACTTAACTTACACTATATTAGAAACTAAGCTCTACATCACAAGATGCAGCCGATTTTTAAACATTGCCACCTTCGCACTTTTTTGCCAGTCAACAATTGGCCTGCTCCACATAACTCATGCGATTCGCAATCCAACATCTGGTTGGTTCCTTCGCTGACACAATATTTTAATGCATGTAAATCGAAGTTTTAGTCTGCTCATGACCTTCATGATTCGAAGCTGATAAATTGCAAAGTCAGGACGCTGTGTCGTCACGCGGAGTTGCGCGTATTTCCTGCAAATCACAGCGGTAAGCAGCCTGCGTGGTTAAGACGACTTTAGCACAGATAATCAGTCTAGCAAGGAAATGGCGTGGGACCATTGATTAGTTTATTTTCACATTTACCAACAACTTGAGTGGTGTAACCGCCGATCTATTTATATGTGGGTGTTCTCACGTAGGAAAGGAGCGCAGGCCTGTGGTGATAACACAACGCGAAATGTGTTATAGCAGGGAATAGAAGGTGCGAAACTAACAGCAGCTCAATGTTAAGTACCCATTAACGTTTCCGCATGTCTTTCACACCTTGAATATCTCACATTTTACGGCGTGTGACAGAACAGTCAGGTATCCCTATTCATGGCCACTCTAGTAACACCTCAATCAGTAGACAAGACAAACCACTATCCATTGCGACATAAGCCAGCTGGTGTTGATAGGTGGGGCAGTTATCACCAGAGTGAGCTAATATTATGTCTGGTGCTAAACTCGAAATATTTCTTTAAACCAAAACGATCGCTTTGTGCCCCAACACACCGCTCGCCCTTTCAGAGCGTGCCCGTCTAGCCACACACCTCCGTGCATGCACCTCT